TTCCCCTTGGATCCCAGCGCCTATTGGGTTACTTCAAACCCAGCAATCCTGGATTCAATGGAACCCAGGTACGGGTTCTCTCGAACCAAGGCACTGGGTTTCTCTTCCGCTTATAACCCAGCACCTGTTGGGTCCTTTGAACCCAACCGTGGGTTCGCTGGAACCCTAGCGTTGGGTTTGAACCCCAGCACGCCTGGGTTCCAAGCATGTTCAATGGATCACAGGCGCTAGGTTCCTTGGAATCCAACACGCTTGGGTTTCTCTCTCTCTTTCGCTAAATTCGTCGTCGATTTCTTGTTCAGGTAAGCTCTCTCAATCGTTTAGTTTCGAGGTTTTGTCTTTTCAATTTGAGATTACGATAGATCGATTTATATTTGGTTGATCTAAGGATTTTGTCAGTCTTTCTGATGTTTTTGTGCTATTGAAAGTGAGATCTGTGTGTACATTAACGATCTCTATCGTTGATTTTGCAATTTTAATTTGTTCTAACTTTAGTTGGTTTTAGTGATTTCTTTATTTGGTTTCCTGATCTGGTTTTTTGGTTTCTAGATCTGTGTTTTATGATTCTACTATTGGTTAGTTGGATTTGCTTTATTATGTCTAGATTTTGATAGTAGTGTTCTTTCTGGTTCCTTCAAACCCAGGCGTTGGGTTCTTTCGAACCCAGTACGCTTGTGTTCAGGGCAAAAAATAAAATAAAAAAATTTTTTTTTTGTGGGTTTTGTTATTTGATGATGACGAAGAATTGATTGATGAAGAAAAAGGAAGGAAAAATAAAGGGCGCTTGCTGAGGAACCCAGCATGCCTGGGTTTGATGGAAGAGCTCTATTGTGTTAGGGTTCCAATGGGAAGAATAGGGGAGAAGGGTTTAGTTTTTGTAGGGGTGGGCCCCACCTCTTTTTTTTTTTTTGGCTTGGTTTGATTCTTGGTGAGAATGAAATATGTCATACTGTCATGACACGTCATGCTATTTTGACATGTCATTGGATTCTTAACGGAAGGACCAAATTGGGTCAAAATGGTAAATATTAGAGATTAAATCAGAAATTTTTTTAGTTAAGGTACTAAATTAAGGGTTCGTATAATAGTTGAGGGACAAAATGGGGGTT